TGCTGCCCAGGCTGCTGTTGCCCGTGGACCCCTTCTGTTCTCCAGCGCTCTCTCTGAGGGCCAGTTCTATTCACCCCCAGAATCTTTTGCAGGTGAGGGCTGATGTGTGGGGGAACTGCTTTCAGGGAGGGGCCTTGTGGGGAAAGGGGTAGGCTGGGTGTGCTCTTTCTATTACTTCTATCAGGCTCCCTGGGGAAAGCCAGCAACCCTCTCCCACACACTTTTATCCCCCACATCCTTGCACTCACATTCCCGAACCCCACTACCTCCCCACGCTCCCCACCCCCGCCATTGTTATCCTGTGCCTGTTTTCCGCAGGGTCTGACAATGAATCAGATGAGGAAGTTGCTGGGAAGAAAAGTTTCTCTGCTCAGGTAGTTGTCTGCCCACCCCCGACTTCTGCCTTTGGAATGGGCACCTGGAAGAGGGCGGTGTGGGGCTTAGCCTGGGGGCGGGGGTTTCCCAGAAGAGGCTGAACCTCGGTTAGTCCCCATCCGTCTGAGTGTCTGCCCCACCCCCAGTCCAGCCCCCTGGGTCTGCCTCATGCCTGGGCCCACAGGGCAAGCAGCCACAAGCCTGCAGGGCCCAGGGAGACCAGCCCAGACCCCCCCATGTGGCTTGTCTAGAGAGAGAACAGGCCACGAAGACGGTCAAGGTGACCCCTCCCTGCTTCCTGCTTCTGTCCAGGAGCGGGAGTACGTCCGCCAGGGGAGGGAGGCCGCAGCAGTGGTGGACCAGATCTTGGCCCAGGAAGAGAACTGGAAGTTTGAGAAGAATAATGTAAGAAGCCCTCTCCCGTCTGACTCTGCCATGGGCATTAGGTGTTTCCACTCCCTTTTCTGAGGCCTAAGGAAGAAACCCAAGGATCGCATGGGTTGGAGCCATATTCCTGCCCCAAGAGAGGGAGCTGGGCTCTCAGGTTGGCAGGAGGCGGGGCTGGATTGGACGTTCCCCGCCCCTACTGCGCCGCCCCCCCCCCCCCGCCACCATCCCCCTTGGCCCCCCTCCCCGCACCCTGTCTTTACTTCCCTGCTGCTCTGCCCCTCAGCTTCAGGCTTTGAAGGGGATGCCAGGCTTCTGCCTGCATCCAGTGTTTCGTTTCATGATCAAAACAACATTATCTACAAAGATTGCAGAGAGCTTAGAAAACAGGGAAACAGGCCCCAGTCCCTCTCTCTGGCCGGTTCCTGTGGCTGCACCACTGGCCTGGAGACATGGTTTCTCATGGTTGCAGCTGCAGCCGTGCTCCCATCTTTTAACTCAACATCAAAAGCCTCTCTCCCGCCAGTGCCGTGGGTTTCTCAGGAGCTGCTGTTTTGTAACGGCTGCTCAGATGTCCCCAGACTCCTGGAGGTTTCCATCCTGAGCTGTTAAAACCCTGCCCTGCCTGTCACCCATTTCTGTGCCACCAGCCCATCCCCTGCCTCCACTCTCCTCCCTGCCATCCTCTGTCCCTGCCACAGGAATATGGGGATACCGTGTACACCATTGAAGTACCCTTTCACGGCAAGACGTTCATCCTGAAGGTGAGTGAGGGGATTGGGTGTCCTGGAGCCCCAGACAGCACTGGTGGCTCCAGGAAGGGCCCAGGGGGCCCTTTGGTGGGTGCCCCCCAAGAGGGAAGGGTTGGTCTGCCCGAGCCCGTCTGGCACCACCCAAGCCTCTGCTGCTCTGCCCCAGACCTTCCTGCCCTGCCCTGCGGAGCTCGTGTACCAGGAGGTGATCCTGCAGCCTGAGAAGATGGTGCTGTGGAACAAGACAGTGACTGCCTGCCAGGTGAGCCCGCCTGGCCGCCTCTTAGGGCATGGGTCGGGGACAGTCACACCACAGTGGGATCACTGAAGCACTGCGCCTCAGCTGCCCCGTCTATACAGTTGGTATGATGGTTAACAGTGCCTGCTCGAGAGGGTCAGGAGGAGGGCAGGAGGAGTGCCCATCCGACGCTGCCCAGGGCCTGCAGATGACCATAGCTCTTAGTGAAGGGGCCCGTCCAGAGGAGCCTGGACTGGGGGGTTCCCATCCCTGGGGTTTTCCTGGGGTGACCTGTTCCACAAGTCCCCGTTGACGACCTTCAGATCCTGCAGCGAGTGGAAGACAACACCCTTATCTCCTATGACGTGTCTGCGGGGGCTGCGGGCGGCGTGGTCTCCCCAAGGTGAGTCCCTGCCAGGCCCCCTCCGCTCAGCCAGGCCTTCTGCACTTTGGCCTTGGGTCAGTGTCCCCCAAGCTAACCCTTCCCTCCCCAGGGACTTTGTGAATGTCCGGCGCATTGAGCGGCGCAGGGACCGATACTTGTCATCAGGCATCGCCACCACACATGGTGCCAAGCCCCCTACGCACAAATATGTCAGGTGAGCCTTGCCTTGCCTGGGGTCACCCCTGCCAGCCCCTCCCTTGGGAGCATTGAGCAGCGCAGGGTACGGCATGTACGGCCGGGTGCTTCCCTGCTGAGGCTGCTTTCCTGTTCCCTGCCCCACTGGGTTCTGCCCCTCCCGGCCACTAATCCTGCTAATCTTGCTGCTCTATCTATGGAGGTGGGGGGTGGCGGACAGCTGGCACCAAGCAACCAAGGCTGGAGAGGATGTACGGGGGTGGCTGGCTGGGGTAGACCATGGATGGGGACCCGTGCAGGGAAGGGGCCTGAGAGCCATGTGGTCACTCTGGGCTGATTGACCTGAGCAGGAGGCGCTACGTTCTGGGTTTCATTTTCCTGCCTAAGGAGACTTGGGTCCGCTGTCCTCCTACTCACCCTGTCCTCACTCCCTCACCTTTCTCTGGAGTGGCTCAGGAGTCCCCCAGAGATAGAGGGGTTACGGTCTTCCGCACCTGTGCCTGGGCTTCTGGAATCTTCCCTGCTGTCTGGTCTTAGGCTGTGGTGCTGTGGACGGCCCTCCCCATAGACCCCCACTCTTCCCCATCCCCTCCTTCCAGCAGAGAGCACTGTTCTTTGAATAGGACACTGGGCTCTGCTTTGAGCATTGCACAAACTTGCTGGGAGTCGGGCAAGCTCACTTCCTCTCTGGGTGCCAACTTTCTTATCTTTGGCGTGGGCTTAGGCATGCTCAGTGGCACTGAGGGAGAATGAAATGGTGATGGGATGTGAACTGTGCCTCCCAGGCTTAGCCTCCTCCTGAGCAGGCGTCCCCTCCTGAAGGGGAAGGGGTAAGAAGTGCCAGCCCAGCCTACTCTGCCATAGCAGGGCTGACCTAGAATCTCTGGACAGGGTGGATGAGAGCTGGGAAGGTGGTGAGCTTCCTTCCCCTGGGGGTGTGCAGGCACCAACAAGCTGTTGTAGGAGGATTCAAGCATCACATAGTGGGTGGGGTGGGGGGCTGATTCTGCAGCCCCGGGGACACCTGTGCTAAGCCTTGTTGACAGGGTAGCTCTGCCTTCCTGCTTCCAGCCCAGTCCCAGCTGGGCCAAGAATGGAGTGTGAGTGGTGGGGGCACGGGGGCTGTCAGAGCCTTGCTCTGGTCCAGAGTCCCCCTAATGACGCCTCTTTCCATAGGGGAGAGAATGGCCCCGGGGGCTTCATCGTGCTCAAGTCGCCCAGCAACCCCTGCGTCTGCACCTTCATCTGGATTCTTAATACAGATCTCAAGGTGGGGTGCTGGGGGGCTTCCAGGTGGGTTCGTGGAGTGGAGGGGACACTGCTGCTGTCTTGGTTGCTGTGTGACCTTGGGGGTTCTCTGCCACGCCTGGGCCTCCCTATGTCAGCCTCCTTTCTTACTTGAAAATGTGGGTCAGGGTCCAGATGGTCTCTTAGCCCTGAATTGCCATAGGGCATGTGCCCCCTTCTTACCCCTGAGTCCTGAGGCCCTGAGGAGGGGTGGCTGGTGGCCAGCCCAGCCCCACACGCGTCTGTTTGTGTGGCTGGTGCCAAGAGCCAGGCACAGCATGTTCTTCCCACCAGGGGTGAGGGGGAAAGGGCAGGGCAGCCCAGGCTGGATTCCAGAGCTGCACCTGCATTCTGGCCCAGAGCCCCCCTGCTGGTACCAGCTGCAAGGGGGGACCCTGCTGAGGCCAGGCCATCAGGTGACTTCTGCCTGCCTTCCCTCAGGGCCGCCTGCCCCGGTACCTCATCCACCAGAGCCTCGCGGCCACCATGTTTGAATTTGCCTTTCACCTACGGCAGCGCATCAGTGAGCTGGGGGCCCGGGTGTGACCGTGCCCCCACCCACCCTGCGGGCCAGGGTCCTGTCACCACCACTTCCAGAGCCAGAAAGGGGGCCAGTTGGGCTTCAGCTGCCCACACAGGACCTGGCCCCAAGCTGCCACCCTCCACCGAGCCACACAGTGCCTGGAGTCAACTGTCGGAGCAGGCTGTGGGGTGCAGCACTGGACTCGGGGGCTCCGCTGGCTGGAGGAAGCTGTCTGGCCTGCTGATGTTTACATGGCGTCCTGCCTCCTGGAGGAGCAGATTGCTGTCCCCTGCCTTGCCAGGGGCAGGGTCTGGGCCGGGTGCCTGACTTGGCTGGGGAGGGCCAGGGCCCTGGGCAGGGCAGGACAGCCTGTCACCCGTGTGAAGATGAAGGAGCTCTTCATCTACCTACACTGTCATCGGTTTTTTAGGATTATTGAGAGTCTGGGACCCTTGTGGGGGAGTGGATGGCAGGTGGGGGTGGGCTGCTAGCAGTGAATCTCTGCCTCTCCCAGGCTGTCCCCTCCCCCCAGGGCCTCCTGGGGGACCTTTGTAATTTAAGCCAATTAAAAATATGAACTAAAAAAAAAAAGCAAAACCCAGCCCCTCCCGCTGCCTTGCCTCTTGAGGGAAGAGGAAGGCAGGCAGCAGCTTGGATGATGACAGAGACCCCTTGTAGCCTCTCAGGGGCTGACAGGAGGGCGGAGCCAGGAGAGCCAGTTCCTGGAACAGCCCCCCCCCCCACTCCACGCGCCCCCCGTTTCCTGACCTATTCAACTGAGCCGATGACTGGTCAGAAAAATATGCCCCACCCCCTGCAAGGCCTCAGCCCCAAAGTCTCTAGCCCAGGATTGGAGGTGGGGGTACAGGCACCTGGCAGTGCCCACAGCAAGCCTTGACTATCTGGCTGGCGTGGAGGTGGGGCTTGAGCTTCAGGATCTCTGAGGCACCTCTGGGATCCCGGCCACCTGGAGCCCTGGACCTCCCAGACTCCACTCACCCATCCCCTCTCCCTGCACCGCACTCACACCAGGGGCAGCCTGGAGCTGGATCACAGGCTGGAGCCAGGCCACTGCGTGCCCTCCTCCCTTCTGGCTGGCCTGCCTGCTGCAGGCTTCCAGCGGTGCCAGCTTCTTTGGAGCCCCGCGAATCCTGTCTCAGTCCTGCCTAGGTGTGTGACCCTGGGCGAATCTACCTCTCTCAGCTTCCGCTTCCTGTTTTATGAAAATGGGACTGATGTCACAGGGTTGTTACGAGATTAAAAGATATGAAGAATCGGGCACAGTGCTCAGTAATCAATAGTCTGCAATTCTGCACCCAGGTGGGTGCCCATGGGCCTGACCTTCTCCTGGGTACTCTGCTGTCCCCACGGGGTCCTGAACTCTGCCCTCGTCACCACTTTTCCCATTGCTCTTTGCCTTGTCCACTCGGCAGGGTCCTCACTACTCATCCCCCCCATGCGTACCACCTATGTGCCAGCTTCTTGCATCATGAGTTGCTACCCCTGGGTGCTGGGCTGTCTCCACAGCCATCTGTCTCCCTGTTCCCCATGAAGGAGAGCCAGACCCCTCCCAGGTGGCACATTGGAGCTGGCAGGCTCCAGAGCTCTTCTGGTCCTCTTATAGTGGCCAGGAAGTGTGAAAAGGGGCCCAGAGAGGGGCAGGGACTGACCCATGGTCACACAGCCTATGTACGGCTGATCTAGAGCTTGAGTCAGGCCTGGCTGTCACCCATCAGAGCCCCAGGATTTCCATTTCACCCAACACAGTATTGGGGTAAAACTGGGACCCCCCTTCCCACCCCTACCGGCCTGACTTAAGAGACCACTTCTCTGACCACCAGCCATGGGGAAGGCAAACACCTGACCAAGACTCATGCCCCAGGGTCCCAGATATGGAATTGACTTCCTCCGCCCCTGCTGGTGTGGGGAGGGTGACTGGGTCCAGGTCTTCAGTGCAGACACCTGAGGAGTGGTTGCACTGTCCCTTCTGGTTGAGGGCCACAGTCTGGGGATGTGCCCTTGAGCCCAAGCAGAGGAGAGCACAGCCGGGGCAGGACCTGGCAGCCCTGGTACAGAGCCCAGATGGGGCATCAGTTCCTGCTGGTCCTGCTCAGTTTACAGACAAGCTGCTGTCCTCCCTGCAAAGGGGAGTGGGTGGGGCAGAGGGCAAGTGCCAGGGTTGCACGAGTTTGGGCATGTGGCTGGCCTGAGACGTTGTCTGAGGAATGTCAGGCACCTGGAGGCCTTGCCCCAAGGACCCCAGGCCGCAGACCTCTGACCAGGGGGCAGCCAGCATCCAGTACCCCAACCCCTGCCCTAGGTCTGGTGTCCCCCCATCAGTGAGTCTTGGCTCTGCTTATAGCATCTGACGCCAGAGGGGCTGAAAATAGCCCCTGGAGAAGGGGGAGGAGGGGGCTATTTAAAGGGCCTGGGAGGGGAGAGGGAGTGAGGAGTGATCATGGCTACCTCGGAGCTGAGCTGCCAGGTGTCCGAGGAGAACTGTGAGCGCCGGGAGGCCTTCTGGGCGGAATGGAAGGATCTGATACTGTCCACACGGCCCGAGGAGGGGTGAGTGTGGGTCCGATAGCGCCCTGTCTCTGCTCCCCCAGCGCACCCTCACTAAGCCATGGGAGACCAGAGCAGGAAGCCCTGCAGAAATTTCTGGGGGTGGGGGCAGGAAGAACGCTCCACGGGGAGAGCAAAGGGGAACTGCCCCTCCTGCACCCAGGTCCCAGCAGCTCCAGGGCACTTCCCACCCAGCTTGTTCCCGGAGAGCAACAGCTCCCAGGAGCTCACTGCCCCTCCCCTCTTCCCAGCTGCTCCCTGCATGAGGAGGACACCCAGAGACATGAGACCTACCACCAGCAAGGGCAGTGCCAGGCGCTGGTGCAGCACTCACCCTGGCTGGTGATGCGGATGGGCATCTTCGGCCGTGGGCTGCAGGAGTACCAGCTGCCCTACCAGCGGGTTCTGCCGCTGCCCATCTTCACCCCTGCCAAGATGGGTGCCACCAAGGAGGAGCCTGCGGACACCCCCATCCAGCTGCAGGAGCTGCTCGCGCTGGAGACGGCTCTGGGTGGCCAGTGTGTGGACCGCCAGGAGGTGGCTGAGATCACCAAGCAGCTGCCTCCTGTGGTGCCCGTCAGCAAGCCTGGTCCCCTTCGTCGCTCCCTGTCTCGGTCCATGTCCCAGGAAGCACAGAGAGGCTGAGAGGGACTGTGACTTGGGCTCCAGCTGTGCCCGCCCTGGGCTGGGCCCTTCCTGGCTAGGACTGTGGAAGGGAACTGCTGGCCATGGCTGCTTTGTAGTTTGCCGAGTTGGGGGCTAGGGGAGGAGGGAGTCAGAGGCCAGGATGCCTGAGCCTCCTGATTTCCCAAAGGGAGAGTGGCAGAGACGGTGGGCACTAAGGGTGGAGAGCTGGGGGCCAGCACAGCTGAGGACCCTCAGCCCCAAGAGAAGGGACAAAAGGTACTGGTGAGGGCAAGAGGTGCCTGGGAGGAGTGGCCCTGATCCAGGAAAAATGCCGGGAATCTGGAACACTCTAGGCAGAAGAAGCTGGGAGGGAGGGGGAGGTGAAGAGGGCAGAGGCAAGGATGGTGGGGCCCCCAGCACCTTAGTTAGTGCCGCAATAAACGCTCAATCATGTGCCAAAGTCGCGTCTCTCCTTTGTGGTTGTGGGGATGGCCCATGGGTGTCCCCCCAGTGCCCTTTTCTGGGTCCAGGCCCTGCATCTGAGCTAAATATGGCAGAGCTAATGGGTACACCCCATACTTGGGGTGGGGGGGCCGGAACGGAGCTGTAAACAGGGTGCTGTCTCCAGTCTCCTTTCCGTACCCTGCCCAGTCCTGGCTTCTGTGTCCAGCCCCCTGGCACTGGGTGGTACCCAGCAAGCCAGCTGGCATCCAGGATTTGTTTCAATGATGTCTCATGGAGAATATGGAGGGGCTGGCACCAGGACTGTCCTTGGCTTTGCCTCAGGGTGTGAACAGGGTCAGTGACCTCAAGGCTAACCTGCCTCTCAGTTCTGAATCCAGACAGAATCAATCCTTGGCAGTCTTGCTCCACCCTCCCTGCCCTGGAAGCCAGGGAAGGTTGGAGGTCTTAGGGGGTCAGGTTCCTCTCTGTGACCCCTGCAGCTGTTGCGGTGACTCATGTTCCAACCTGGCTGCCTCTCCCAAGGAGATTTTCCCCTGGGGACAGGCGGGAGGGGAGAGCACGGAGGAGGCCCAAATCAAGCAGGGCCAGGAACCCACCATGGTAGGAGCTGGGCTGGTGGCCTACCCAGGGCAGAAGGACCCCAGACTCATCCAGAGGGGAAGGAAGGGGTCTTCAGGGAGACCAGAGAGATGCAGAATTGGCTTCCAATTCTATCAGGGGGATAGGTGGGGAGACCCTAGCATTTTGGCAGCCAGGACCTAGGGCACCCGAACAGAACCACAGGCCTGGCCTGGCCGCTGCTTCGGAGCTGAGCTGGAGTGTAGGCTGCGAGAGGAGAGGGGCTCAGAGCACCAGCTGCAAGCCGGTCCTGCCCATCGGCGTGCACCAGCCCCAGTCCCAGGATCCGCAGGGCCCCAAATCTGCTGGGCCCCAAGGCCTGCACTGCGCCCCCTGGTGGTCCTCGGCGAAAGTGCCCCGCGCCACGCCCCCCTCACGCCCTCCTTCCGCCCTCACCTGGGTCCTGCGCCCCCGACGTGGCGAGGACATCCCGAACCCGAACCTTTCGTCCTCAGCAGCCCCCAGATAAGCGGCTGGGAGCCCGCGGGGCCCGCAGGGGAGGCCTGGCTGTCCGATGGCAGGCGCGATAGGGGAGGCCCGGCTGTTCCGCCCGCTAAGTGCATTAGCGCCGCTCGCGTCCCCTATCGCGCCTGCCATCAGACAGGCGGGGCTGCGCCCGGGTCTGGGCCCCCGGAGCGACCACAGCGGAGGCCGGAACGGACTGTCCTTTCTGGGGTGGGGTTGGGGGGGGCGCTGGAGGGCCGAGTGGCATAGGAAAGGACGAGAGAGGCCTGGAGGGGAGGAGAAGGGAAGTTGGGTGGCAGTTCTAAGAGAAGGGTGGGTGCTGGGACGGGTGTCCGGGACGGAGGGGAGCCAGGCGGGGTCTGGGGCCTCGTGTGGGAGGGAGGGCGCTGCGAGGGGGAAGCTGGGGGAAGGGGCGGATTCCCCAGTCTCCACCTCGAATCAGGAAAGAGAAGGGGCGGGCTGCCGGGCAGAAGGGGTGAATGGCTGCGGGGAGCTGGAGAAGAGGGACGGGAGGGGCTGGCCCGCGGGGATGGGGGTCTCAAAATTGTGGGGGTGAGGAACTGAGGGTGAGGGGCGGCACAGAGGCGGGACTCGGACGGGCGCAGGCGAGGCGGAGGGCGAGCGCTGCAGAAGCAAGTGCGGGGCGGGGCGGGGCGGGGCGGGAGCCGATTGCAGCTGCAGCCGCCCCCCTCACCTCCGGTGCGTCGGCCGGCCGGACACTAAGGGAGATGGATGGATGGGCTGGGGAGGATGCGGCGCACGTAGCCCCAGGCGGCTCTGGTTCAGCTGCCGCCCCCACAGCGGACGGATCGGGGCGGGGGTCGGGCGGTAGAAAAAGGGGCCACGAGGCGAGCGTGGCATCGGGCGGGCCGCAGCGGCAGCATGAGCGGTGCAGACCCGAGCCGCGCGGCGGGCGCAGCCCCTGACTCGGCCCCGGGCCGGGCGGCGGTGGCCTCGGCCTACCAGCGCTTCGAGCCGCGCGCCTACCTCCGCAACAACTACGCGCCCCCTCGCGGGGACCTGAGCAGCCCGGACGGGGTCGGGCCGTGGAAGCTGCGCTGCTTGGCGCAGACTTTCGCCACAGGTGGGCGGGGGAAACTGAGGCAAGACGGACAAGAGGTCGTCGGGGAGTGAAAGCAGGCGCGGGGAGACAGAAAGGAGACAGACCGCGCGCCCGCCAGATGAGGACCAAGAAGCAGAGATAGCTGAGAGGTGCAAACAGAAGGGAAAAAGGAGCAACAGCCCTTAGGAGAGGGGCAGAGGAAAGAGAGGAGGCGAGAGGGAGCGGAGAGCACTCAGAATTGAGAGCTAAGATTGGGGATGCAGGACCGGCTGAGGTGGGAGATGCAGAGGAGGAAATAGAGGCAGAGATGATCCGTCAGGGGCGAGAAACCGCCAGGATTTCCCCGCTAAGCCTGGCTGGTAGATACAGTTTTCTTTTTTTGAGATGGAGTTTCGCTCTTGTTGCCCAGGCTGGGGTGCAATGGGCGATCTCGGCTCCCTGCAACCTCTACCTCCCGGGTTCAGGCAATTCTCTTGCCTCAGCCTCCCAAGGAGCTGGGATTGCAGGCATGCACCACCAAGGCCGGCTAATTTTGTATTTCTTTAGTAGAGACAGGGATTCACCATGTTGGTCAGGCTGGTCTGGAACTCCTGACCTCGTCATCCACCTGCCTCGTCATCCACCTGCCTCGGCCTCCCAAAGGAGGCCACCGTGCCCGGCTGGTACCTGAGTCTCAGAGCAGAGGAACCTGAGTCTCAAAGTGGTGAAGTTCCCTTCCAAAGGGAAGTCAGCCCATGTTGGAGCTGGGTTCAATCTAACTCTGGGGCCGATGCTTTTTCCAGATGGAGACACACTTGCAGAGGAGAAGGAAGAATTAGACAGAGGCTGGGAGATGCAGGGGAGGGAGGAGTGAGGAGGCAGAGGCTGCCTGGGCCGGCCTGGCACCAGGACCCTCTTCCTCTGCTCTGCCCAGGTGAGGTGTCCGGACGCACCCTCATCGACATTGGTTCAGGCCCCACCGTGTACCAGCTGCTCAGCGCCTGCAGCCACTTTGAAGACATCACCATGACAGATTTCCTGGAGGTCAACCGCCAGGAGCTGGGGCGCTGGCTTCGGGAGGAACCGGGGGCCTTCAACTGGAGCTTGTACAGCCAGCATGCCTGCCTCATTGAGGGCAAGGGGTAAGGACTTGGGGGGCGGGGTGAGGGCTGGGCAGGGGGGCTTCCCATAGAGTGGCTGTGGCTGGTGGGGGCAACAGAGGCCTGAGCGCAGAACAGTCTTGAGCCCTGCCTTGTGCCCCCTGTACAGGGAATCCTGGCAAGAAAAGGAGCGCCAGCTGCGAGCCAGGGTGAAGCGAGTCCTGCCCATTGATGTGCATCAGCTCCAGCCGCTGGGTGCTGGGAGCCCAGCACCCCTGCCTGCCGATGCCCTGGTCTCTGCCTTCTGCTTGGAGGCCGTAAGCCCAGATCTTGCCAGCTTCCAGCGGGCCCTGGACCACATCACCACACTGCTGAGGCCTGGGGGGCACCTCCTCCTCATTGGGGCCCTGGAGGAGTCGTGGTACCTGGCTGGGGAGGCCAGGCTGACGGTGGTGCCAGTGTCTGAGGAGGAGGTGAGAGAGGCCCTGGTGCGTAGCGGCTACGAGGTCCGGGACCTCCGCACCTACATCATGCCTGCCCGCCTTCAGACAGGCGTAGATGACGTCAAGGGCATCTTTTTCGCCTGGGCTCAGAAGAAGGTAGGGCTGTGAGGGCTCAGCATGCCCTGTGGCCTCCACCTGGATTCCCTGCTCTTTGAGGTGGCACCTAATAAAGAAATAATGGCCTGCCACTGCGCTCAGTGCTGTCTGTGCCTCTCTTGGGAAGCAACAAGGGCCCAGAGATCTGAGTGTCAGGGTGGGGGAGACACTCACCCCAGGCTTTTCTTCCAGAAGCTTCCTTGAGGGTAGCATTCTGTACCACTCATTCTTCCCAAACTAAGGAAGGCCAAGGTCAAGGGGAGCTCACTGGGCACCAGGCACTTGTGACATGCCATTCTGCCCATGACATCATTCATTCCTGCATTCAGCAGCAGGTCCTGCTAGTCTGTTTCCAGGTGAAGCTCAGAGAGGTGAAGTAACAGACAGTGCAGCCCGGTTCAGACCAGAACGGGGGAGAGTGGGATCATGAGGAGATGGAAGTAGCATCTGCAAGGTGGTAGGGGTGTTACAATTGAAAAGCAAAGGCCCAGGGAAGCCAAAGGGCAAGAGCTGGCTCTGGCTGCCTCTCACAACTGGACTTGAGCTCTGCCCAGCTCTGCTCTGGGGCCTGCCATTCCCTATGCCCACGTGCCCAGGCAGACACCTCACCTCTGTCTACTGCCTCCAGCCAGCTATGGGGCCTTCCCCTGCCCCCACAACTGTCTTCTCCTGCCCTCTAGACCACCCTATTCACACAAATGAGCTGAACCAAGGCAGGTGAGGCTGAAAATGATTTATTAACCACGTCCCTTGCTACCCTCCCACCTTAAAACAGTTTTCAGTATCAAAAGAACTTAGCACAGGCTACCCAAGTCCCTGAGGCTGGAGTCCTAGCATAGCTCCCCTCCCCTAAAGAGGAACCAGGGGTCAGGGATAGAGCAAAAATCCAGTCTGCTTCAACCACGGACACTGCCTTTGGCATGGAAAGTTTCTGGCACTCACGCTATCCTATCCCTGTGGGGCAGGAACATGACAGGGCTGCTGGCAACTGGCAGGGGTCACCTTTACCAGGGTGTTGGCGCAGTGTGGCTCCTGCCTGCCGGGGGGCCACCCTGGAACAGAAAGACCCTCTGGGGAAGGCCGAAACCAGACCCAGCCACAAGCTTTCTCTCCTTCTCCCTCAAATCCCTTCCCCCTCCCCAAAGTCCAGGCAATGCAAAGGGGCTGGCAG